AGCGACATTCTAACCCTGGGCCGTTTATTATTAAACCAGTTTACAGGAGGCGGTAGGGGTACATTCTGAAAAATATACAGTATTTTTGGAAGTATATTAATTTTGTAAGTGTTAATCCTGCCAATCAGTGATAAGGGAAGAGGCATCCATCTATTGATATTTTCAATGATCTCTTTTGTTAAACGTTCATAATTCTTCTTTACAATCATATCTAGATTTAATATTATGTTGATTCCTAAATATGTGAATTCTCTAACAACCCTAAATTCTGAGCTCATTTCCGGGGAAATTTCTTTTCTATCCAACATTAATAATGAAGATTTAGCTTTATTTATACTATAGCCTGAAATATGACCATATTCCCTTATCAAATAAACCAAGCTTGGAATAGATTCTTTTAAGTTTGAAATGAACAGGATTATGTCATCTGCGTATAATGAAATTCTGTGTTCTGCTAGTTTAATTGTAATGCCTGTTATAGATTTATGGGACATTACAGCTATAGGAAGTGCTTCCAATGCCAATGTTAACAACAATGGGGACAAAGGACATCCTTGATGACATCCTCGTTTGATAGCAATTGGTTTAGACACATTTTTATTTGTTAATATTTCTGTAGGATTTAAATATAATAAGTGTGCCTCTCATGACTTATCTAGAGATCTGACCCACATGCAGAAGCCCACACAGAGAGAACAGGGAAAAGATTAACAGGTTTTATTAAGAGTAGGTTGAGAGCAGTCCAGTGCTGCTATGAACACTGTCGAACCGGGACTGAAAAGTGAAGGCGAAGATTCTGCGGTTAGTTCAGGCTCAGTGGGAAATTCGTGTGTTCGATTTGAAGAAGGGAATAAAGGCAACAGGACTCACGTTTCCAGAAAAAGGTGTCCCTTGTTGAATCCAGTTGGTGTGGGTTGTTCCAGTGAATGACTTGCTCGTTGGAGGGCGGATAGGGTTTACCCAGGTTGCAGTGTTTCCTTGAGGCACGGAGGCGCTGACTGCCACTTAGTTTTGCTGCTGTACTTGAACGGTTACTTGTGGAGATGAATCCCCTGCTCAGAGAGACGCCCAAACAATCCTGGGGGGAAAAGTTGATCCAAACCACTAGCTTAAATCCTCAGCTCAGTTTGATGCTCAGAGAATCCTTCCGGGTCCAAAAACATCCAGTTTGCAGGAGGACTTCCTGCCAAGAGGTAAAGACAAAAACAGCAAGGTTAAAACTCAGGTTGACAAAAACTCAGTTTGACTCAGTAAAACTCAGCTTGGCTAGAGTACCCAAAACTGGCAAATACTCTGGTGTCGAGGTAGTGGCAGTCAGCAGCTTAAGAGTCCTCAGTTAATGAGGAAACCATCCTCAGGTGAATGAGGAGGCCAACGAGAACCAGGCGCCGCCTGGTGGTGGAGGGAAGAGAAACAAAAGCACAACCCACACAAACTGGATTCCTAACAGTGCCCAGTTTTTAGAATAATTTCCATAACCAAAACGGTTTAAAATGTTGAATAGATAGGGCCGTTTGACTCGGTCGAATGCCTTCTCGGCATCTAAAGAAAGAAATGCGGTTCCTGATTTAAAACCCGAATCTTGAATAATGTTTAGAAGTCGCCTCACATTGTGTAGACCTTGCCGTCCCAAAACAAAGCCATTTTGATCCCTAAGTATCACTGTAGGAAGTGAGTCTTGTAAATGTATTGCTAATATTCCGTAAAAGTTTAAAAAACAATCCACTGGACTTGGTTTCCAATGTTTGAAGACTTTTCGCTTCCCCTCGAGAAAGCTTTCTCAATTCAAATGTCATGACACTTGAATTGAGAAAGAAATCCAGTGGATTGTTTTTAAAACTTTTATGGAATGACTACGACCTAGATGGCTGAGAATCTTCATCAGCTTATTGCTAATAGTTTACAAAGTATTTTTAGGTCAGCATTAAGCAAAGTTATTGGCCTCATGTTCTCACATTTATTGCTGGGTTTCCCTGGTTTGGGTAACACAAAGATCAAACCATTTGTCATAGATTTTGGTAGGCCAGCGTTACAATATGCCTCCTGAAACATCTCTACGATAGGACTAATTAATTGTTTTTCAAAGTTCTTTATAAAAGTCTATAGGGCCTTCTTCCCTGCCTTCATGAGGTCAATAGCTCTACTAAGTTCTTCTTCCGTAATTTTAGCTTCCAGGTGTTCTATCGAGGGGATATCTAACTTATTTAGAAATAAATCATGCTCCTGATTATCGGAGGTATCTTCTAAACTCTTCGTTTATTTTAATTGGGTCTACTAATGTTTCCCCGTTAATGAGAGAGGTAATGTTTTTTTGCACTTCCAATAATTTTATTTGCCAAGCCAAGAGTTTCCCCTGTTTTTCTCCTTGTTCATAGAATGATTGGTTTAATCTTAATAAGCTGGAGGCTGTTCTTTCTGCAGATTCTTTCTAATATTGCGCCTTTAATAACAGCAACTCCTTCTCTTTTCCTGTGTTGCCATTTCTAAAAATTTGTCCTTC